CTGGCCTCGGTTAGTTTTTTCACTCTCGTGCTGACCAGTATTCTGAGTACTCAAGAGGGCCCTTCTGCAGATCTCCTGGGTTCTCTGTGCAGCTTTATTCTGGTATTCTGTCTCATGAACATGAGCTGCCTCAACTTCTAATTCCTAGCTCAGACCCTTCAACCCTTCAGTTTCCTCCCTGTTCCACTGCCCAGAAACTCTCACAAGGCAGTAGTAAGCCATCTTGTTTCCCATCTCTTAGGGATTGCTCTTTCAATGTTTGAGTTTTATTTATTTTTTTTAAGATTCAGGTTTGAGACCAAATCCATGCACTTAACTCCATTTGACCAGAGGCAGAAAAAATTCCTGCATTTTTTTTAAGCTTATGGAATACCCAGCAGGTGAGCATAGAGGCTGAGATTGTATCGATGAAACAACTGAATCTAAACCCTCCCTTGCATAGATAACAAACTAGAGGTTTGGAAAGAAGTAGTGGAGGTAATCAGAACCAGATTCTATCCCTTAAATCTTGGTCTAGTTATCTGACATCATTCTTTGCTCTGTATCTTATCTTGCCAAGTTATTTTCCATTTTCAACTATTTTTTTTTTTTAAGATTTTATTTATCTGAGAGCGAGAGAGAGCAGAGCAGGAGGGAGGAGCAGAGAGAGAAGCAGGGTTCTCAATCCCAGGACCCTGGGATCATGACCTGAGCTGAAGCCAGACACTTAACTGACTGAGCCACCCAGGCGCCCCTAGACTAATATATTTTCAAGCAAAATAACTTTAAAAAATTTTTTTATTTAAATTCAATTAACTAACATATAATGTATTATTAGTTTCAGAGGTAGAGGTCAGTGACTCATCAGTCTTACATAATACTCAGTGCTCATTACATCATGAGCCCTCCTTAATGTCCATCACCCAGGTACCCCATCCCCCCACCCCCATCCCCTCCAGCAACCCTGTTTGTTTACTATGATTAAGAGTCTCTTATGATTTATCTCCCTCTCTGATTTCATCTTGTCAAAATACATGTTTTTTAAAAAGAGAGAATGTGCATCAATATCCAGACCTCCATGTGATCTTGAGACTGCTCCTCCCCAACCTTGGCAAAAAGTTAGAAGCTTTTTCTCTAGAGGGGGTAGGTTTCTGGGGTAGAAGGCCTTCTCAGAGACCTGTAAGACAAGTGAACCTAGGCATACTAGAATGCTGAAGCTCCCTAGCCCTCTTCCTCCACTGAGTTCCCACAAGGCCAGCAGCAGTTCAAGGTAAACCCTCCAGACATGAAACTGGAAGTTTCCTACAGGGAACCTGACCAGTCCAAGGGGAAAGTCCTAAAAGTAGTGGACATTAGGGATCTGCCAAAAAAAGTTCAATCAGCTCATCTTACAAACACATATTCTTCTTAATATCCCACCTGTAAATATAAGCACACTACCAATGATTGCCAGGCAGCTAAGGAAAGTCTATAACATGAAAGACTAAAAGCAAAACAAAAAGGGAAAAAAAAACCACGCAGGAGATGAAAGTTTTCAACAAAACATATTAATGTTCTCAGAGATAAGATGTTGCAACCATGGAATGAGGTCCTAATTAAAAAAAAAAGGAACACTTAAGACAATCAACAGGAAATCTTCCATAAAGGAGATCAAAAAGTCAAGAAAATAGGAGGTGGTAGGGACAGAAAAATTAAAAACAGAGATAAGTCCAGGAGATCCAATACCTGAACAGGAATTCCAGAAAGAAAAGCCAGAAACTAAAGGAAGGAAATCATTAACGAATTCAAGAAAGTTTCCCAGAAGTGAAGGACCAGAGTTCATTCTGAAAGGGTTCAACAACAGCTTGGCACTGCATGAAAACAGACCTTCACCAAGGCATGCCACCCTGAAATGTCAGAACGCTGGTGACAGAAGGGAGAAAGAGTCACATACAAAGAATCAGGACTCAGAATGGCTTGACTCTTCTAACAGAAACACTAGATGGTAGGTGAAAAGTAACAATGCCTTCAAAACCGTAAAGGAAAATAAATTCCAAACTGGAATTTCACACCCAATCAAGTATGAGAGGAGACATTTTTCAGACATGCGATTCACTCAAACTACTTTCCATGCACATCTTTTACTGCAAGCGTTCTACCAGAATGAGGTAATAAATCAAGGGAAAGTGGGGACACGGAAAACAGGAGACTCAGCAGGGGAGAGCCCATGATGACAGCACTATATTAAGCATAAGGGAGCGCCAATCCAGAGAGGGCAGGTCAAGAAATCGATAAAATAGATGTTAATGTCCTTAAGAGAATTTGGGTTGAATTAGTGACAAGTAGAGAGAAAACTAAGCTAATAACTAATAAAAATGCAAGAGGAACTAATTCTAGGGATAAGAAAGTTCTGCAGGAAGGTAATCTCATCCACTACATGGCTCAGCCGTGATATAAATACCCAGTCATAGTAAACACTTAATATATGACCCAACCAGAATTATACCAGGGAGATGGGTGATGGGGAGTACATGCATGGTGGGCAAGAGGGAGAGAGAAGTCAAATGATAATGCCTACAATGCAAACATCAATAAATAGCCATGCACACGTTTAAATTGAGACCTGGTGGCAAATATAAACTTACCAGCCAACAGTTGAAAGGGAATACCATGAAGTGGGGAAAACGGGGAAGGGCAGATAGGGTAGGAGAGTTGCTGTTTTTCATAACAAACCTCGCAGAACTATTTGCTTTTCCAATGCAAAATAAGATTTTCTTCCTAAAATGCAGGATATAAAACTGTTTACAAACCTATTTTGTTAATTTATTGTTTTTAAAAGTTTCAAAATTTTGCGAGGGCCTGCATGGGTTAGTGGGCTAGAGTCTGCCTTCGGGGCTCAGGTCATGATTGTGGGATCCTGGGATTGAGCCCTACATCAGGCTCACCGCTCAGCAGGGAGCCTGCTTCTCCTCCCTCTGCCCCCACCCCACGCTCGTGCTCTCTCAAAATCTTTATAAAAAATATTTTAAAAGTTTCCAAATTTTTACTGTGCACATTTAATTAAAAACGAAACCATAAATGGGAGCTCCACTTTTCGGGATCTAGGTAGGGTTACAGCTAGTTTTTACTGCGTGTAGAATCATGCAAAACTGGTATTCCTGCATGGTTCCCAAGGTAAACCATACCCGGTCAGCTTTTTATGCAATTCATGTGTTAAGTATAATGTGTTAGTAAAGTCTTACTATAAAAGTATGATAATTTAAGCAGTGACCATACTAAAATAACATATTCTAGTCCAGGATATCAAAATGTGGCCACAGACCTACTGAATCAGATCTACCTAGCTTGGGTGGCAAGGGCATTGCTTAAAATGCAGATTCCTGGGCCCTACCCCAGACCAATTATTCAGCAATCTCTAGGGGTAGGGCCTTGGAATTTTCATTTCTAACAAGATCCCTAAAGTGATGTTGAAAACTGCTCTCCCTCACTGTGTTAGTAATTCAATAGTGTTCATTAATAAGCCAATAAATCAATGTCTGTAAATCAAGCTCACAGGCAGGGAGGAGGAAAAGGAATCCATGAAGGGTAGTGGATACCACCATGTCTACCTGAAAGAATTCTACTTAAAACACTTCAGAGAAATTCCACTCCATATGTAACTCAATGTACAAGTTTCTTTTCTTATCAGAAACAATATATTAACTCTTGGTCAAACCTAAAACAAATGAACTCTAACTCCATTCACATTTAGTTCATTTGCAATGGTCCCCAGTCCAGGAGCCCTCCCACTGGGATAGCACAGCCTGCAGCGCCATCAGCATTCATCCAAATGTGTCAGAAGAGCTGGGGCTGCTGGAGCAAGAGGTGCAGGGGTTGCTCTGGGGGATGGGTCTCTGAAGCCTTATTTCCGGGCCTGCACTATCTGACCAACACTCTGAGGCTTATTCCTTAGTTCTTTATTACAGGAATAACACAAGGTCTGTTAACACTGTGGTAGTGTCATGACTATAAGGCAAAGCTTGTTAGAAAACCCCTACTTGATGCCTAGTTAACAGATGTGTTGGATTTTCTTCTTATTACTTGAACAATGTGTCCCATGAGCAATGTTCTAAGGGCAATTAATCAATCCCTTTTCCTTGTAACAGTTGTTGCTGAAGCTCATCCTATACTGAACCTGTGGCAAGATCTCTTTTCAGTACTTGACTTCTTCAAGCCTGATTTTCCAATTTCTGTGTTTTTGTCAGTTATTCACTTTGCATACCTTGTCCTCTCTACCTCTGGTACATTAAAAGCCATGACTGTGCCATTGCATGCCGAGATGCTCTGACAAATGCCTAAGAATCTGTCCCCACAAATCACAACACTGCTTATGAAGCCACTGTAGGAGCCACAGATGCCACTAGGATTCCCTAAATTATCTTTTAATATTAGATTACTTTTGCCAAATGCTGAACCACTAGGGTTTCCAGGCTACAAAGATCAGAATGGTGGATTTTTTCATCGGCCAGGAGCACCCATGCGGTGTTAAGCTGAGCTGATGAAATCTCCACAAAGGTTACCTGAACAAAGCACGGTACAAATGCTTGTGTCTGAAGACCAATGAGACATCTATCTGTGCGTTCTTGGAGTTTTTCCGAGGGTTTAACCAGCAACTGGCCTGGAACAGTAGCTTAAACTCTTATCGGTAACTGTGCTATTTCAAAGTACTGGCGTTCTCCCAGGATATCTTCCTGGGTGTCAAAAAAAGCAAACAGAACATCAAACCCCACAATGAACACACAGTCCTTATTTTTTCAAAAAGAAAAACAACAGAGGCACCTGGGTGGCTCAGTTGGTTAAGCATCCAACTCCTGGTTTCAGCTCAGATTGTGATCTCAGGGTCATAAGACTGAGCCCTGTATCCGGTTCAGTGCTCAGCATGGCGTCTGCTTGGTTTCTCTCTCCCTCTCCCTCTGCTCCGCACGCCCCACCCCCCAACATGCTCGCGCGCTCTCTGATACATAAATCTTAAAAAAAAAAAAAAAAAAAGAAAAGCAACAACAAAAAAGACCACCATATTTATTTAGTGTAACATTTCCCCTGATCTAAAGAGAAAGATGTCAAAAGAAAATCTAGAACATATACACCCTCCTGAACCCAGATAACCTAAAAGAAAAAAATAACGGCAAAGTTCTGTTCAACAGATAAATTTATCTTCGCTTCTGGAAGATGTTTCCACGCCCCATTCCACGTCCTCTTCCTCTCGCGGCCACTGAAAGGTAGGAAAGAAAGGATAAGGCCGGGTCAGTGCAGTCAGCCAATGCTCAAGCCGCGGAGCAGCCAGAGCCCTTGGACACGGGCACAGGAAGGGGCCTGAAAGGCCACTTGGTCCAACACCTTGCCCACCCCATGGCATTTCCTCATTGCATGAGGACTCGTGGCTGGCATCAGAGTTGGAGTGCCTTCCAAAACTCCTGCTTTCTGGTCCACCACTGCTCTCAACGTGAGGCTGGGAGTCAGGGTGTTGAGAGCTAAGGTGGTTTGGGGAGCAAGCCTGAGAACCACAGAAAAGATGAATTCCCAGCACTGGCCTAGGGGTGAGCTAATAAAACACAACAGATGAACTTAATTCACATTTAAAATTCTGAAACAAACATTTAAATAGTAAACATTGTTAAATCTGGGCAACAGGTTTTATTATTTTTTAAGCTATTCTGCAATATAAAATGTTTCATAATAACAAAACAAATAAAACCACTCCCCATTCAAAGGGCATACAAGCTGCTGTTCTCTGTGACTCCAAGAGTTCCAGGAGAGGTTCAGTGTCTTTGAAGGACAGGTGAAAATATTCTGATGGCTACTAATTGGAGTCTTAACCCTCTTCCCTCTTCTAGAGCCCCTTGAAGAGGGAGGAAAGTCACCCAAGAGCCCAGCCACATGCTGAAAAGAACCAGAGCAAAGGACTGACGGAGGCACAGATGGCTCAGGCAGAAGCCAGTGGGCCTGGACAAACTCACTGCCAAGTGCCTTCTAGTGCACAGCTACTGGGCTGCACCTTTGTTAGAGATGATGGTGCAGTTACACAGTGACAATGAGGGCAGCCCTTCCCTGAGAAAGCAGAGAGAACGGCAGTTCTAATAGGAAAACCAGTATTCCTGGAAACCAAAAGGAAACAAAAGGTCCAGAGCTTCCGGTTCTACAAATGCCACTTATCTAGGAAGGGAAAGGAGATTCTCCCATCAGTGTTTAGAAGGACATTTTAAAGGATTACTCTATTGCACCTTTAAACTCAAAAACTACCTCATATATAAAATATGCACAGCAAAAAAAGATACTGGAGGAGAATCCAGTGACTTTCCTGCACTACAGATCTTTTCACCGATACTCAGATAGTTTCTAATGAATGCACTAGCTTCCTAGATAATAAACATGGCAGAGCTTTTCATGGACCCAAAGATAAAACCTCTGACTGGGCTAACCCAAAAGAAAGGCCAGACTAAGGAAGGTCAGTGGATCACTGGGGACATGCTAAAGGAAGGATTTATTTTCAAATATAAGAATATCTAAAAACAGAAGTCCAGTCCCTATAATGGGTAAAGATGGCTTAAAACTGCTTATTTCTTACGTGAAAATGGATCCCTACCGTCCGCATTTCGCCCCACTTACGCTGGGTGTCCATAAACACCCCCAGCTCTCTGGGAACTGTTGCCCCACTGCTTTAGGTGGCAGCTAATCCATACCACAGTGCCCCTGCTCAGCAAACTAGATAAGAGCAAGCCTCCCCCAGGCTCTTTGGACAGAATTTCTGGAAACAAAGGGGCTCCTAGAAATTCATGGTAGGAGATTGATCCACTCTTCATTTAAGACGTGTCCCCTTCTTCTTTCTAAGGGGGTACTCTGGATTTTGCATAAGCCCTATGACTGTGATCAGGTGAGGCAAGACAGAGAAGAGACATGGCCCCCAGCTCCTCAGAGGTGGGGGCCCCAAGACTACAGGGTGGCAGTGGGTGTGGAGATGGCTGAAGTCCAACTCCACCCCCCATGCCCGGGCAACTGACAGGGCCCTTTCCTAAAAGATACAGGACAAACACATATGTTAAAAACAGTGCAAGAGGAGCACATACCTTGGGCCTTCAGAATAGCAGCTTTTCCCCGGCCAGCCCCTGAGCCTTGGTTTTTATTTTTCATGCTCTTTAACATGGGCGCATTTTTCAGCATGTCAGGCAAAATGAGAAAGCGGATCTTGCTGCCACGGATGTACACCTGCTCCAGCTGTGCCACCCGGCCGTCTCTGTATGTGACTGTGATGTTGGACATCTGGAAGGGAATCACCAGCTCATCAACAAGGGCCAACAGCACCAGCAGACAAGGACAGACAAAGAGGGGGAGCCTTGGCTGGTGGTAGGGTAAGTCCAGAAATGCACAAACCAACATCATGAAATAAAGGAGCCAGGCAAAGCACTTCACATATTTGGTCTTCACAGCACCTCCAGGATAGGCTATGGGCATTCCCATTTTTTACAGATTAAAAAAACCTAAAGCACTTGTCCAAAGTCCAACAGCCAGAATGGAAGAACCCAGATTCAAATCCAGCTGGCCTGACTCCAGAGCCCTAACTCTGGATACTGCCTCCCTTGCCAGCATGTGAAGGGTTCTCATGGTGAAAAACTCCAATCGAAACAGCTGTGAACCGCTTGTCCAAACTCTGTCCCGTCCTGTGTCCGCCCGGCACATACACTGCGGAGGCACCACAAAGGTCATGAGCGTGCACCAGAGGCAGCTCCTACCCTCCCAGAGTGCACACTCGAGAAAGTGGGACAGAGCCCCTCTAGCTTCAATGACTAAGAATGAGAAGTATAGGGGGCAGTGCCTGTATGAAAGGCTCAGAATATTGGGAGAGGTGTAAGGCGAGAGCCTACACTGAGACAGGACACTTGGGCACGAACCTACAGGATACAAGGACTGGAGCAGAGCAATTGGGAAAGGGGGAAAAAGTTATCACCTTGGAAGACTATGGGGCTCATTCATTTGTGGACAGAGGGAGAGTGGATAGGGTTAGGATAGCACTTTGGAAAGATCAAATATGCCAACATGGATAAACTGTGGGATGGAGAGACAGGGAGCCTCGAGGTGAGACCAGCCAGCAGACGGGCTTGGCATAGGAAGGGGACCTAAACTTGCCAGTGCCAACCTCAACAGGCACCACATTTACCACAAAAAGTAGCTTATTTTGAGTCTTCTGGATGAAACAGTATATACATTTATTCAGAATAGGTCAAAGCCCACATTGTAAAGAGAGGTCTGTCTCCCCAGATTTCTGACTGGCTTGTTGCCACCTTATACTCATTCTTTTCCTCAAAGTGCTCACTGGCCACCCAGCCTCTGCTTGAACACCCAGTTTGCAAAAAGACTAACAACACTCTAGGGCCATCCTCGCTAAATCTGTGCAGTTGGAATAGTCTGTAGAGCTTCAACCTCAACCCACTGTCCCTGTTCCACCCTTAGGGGTAATAGGGCTCAAGTTTCCCATAAATCTTCTACTCCAGGCTCAACATTCCCAGTTTCTTAACAAACTCCCGCACAGGTTCTAAATCCTTGCTATTCTGTTCTTGCCTCAAAGAATACCATAACCTCTGGAGGCGCCTGGGTAGCTCAGTCAGTTAAGTGTCTGACTTCAGCTCAGGTTCTGATCTTGGGGTCCTGGGATCGAGCCCTGCATCGGGCTCTGCATCCAGCAGGGAGTCTGCTTCTCCCTCTGCCCCTCCCCCTGCTTGTGCTCAGTTTCTCAAATAAATTAAAAAAAAAAAAAAAAAGAATACCATAACCTCTGGTGCCACAGTGAACATGAAGTATGACTAACATAATATAGTCATATTGAGCTCAATATATCACATATTGAGCATAAGTGCTCAATAAAACTCAACTTTTATTGAGCACTTATTAGTATCCCAGGCAATTTCACATCATAACTCCTACAAATCACACGATTCTACAAGATAGAGATCATTGCCATCCCCACTAGAGATGAAGAGGCACAGCCAGCAGAGGCAGGCCTGTCTTAGAGGCCACACTCTTACCCACTCTCTATTCTTCTGCCTAAGGTCACACTACTTGTGTGGCCTACAGAGCACTATAAACTCAGGTCTAACTCTAAACCCACCATCTGAAACCATACATCAGATCACCACTTCCTCCTCATCATTCATTCTGAAACCATACATCAGATCACTTACTTCCTCAAATAGTTAAGGAGCAAACTGAATGAGACAAATATGTCTAAACACTGTTCCTATTACCGAGCATATATTAGAAGCTCAGTAAACAATGAATCTAAATGACAGTCAAGACATCTATTTTGGAGGCTATGCTACTGCTAAGCTACTTCTCCTCCAGTACATACATCTCACCCCCTTCCTCTGTTACAACCTCCCCAACCCACTTTGAAAATCCCTGACAGAGGGTGTTCTGTAAGACCAACAGGACAAACGGTCCAGCATCAACTGACTCCTATGACAACCCTAATAATGACCAGGTTGGCTACTGTTCTCATGCGCCCCCTGCAGCACCAGCAGAGAAATGGCTGTGCTGTGTATAAAACCCCACAATCCCGCCCACCTATACAGCTTGTTAATAAGCCCAAGCTATGTCTGCATCATAAGCCAAAGGCAACAACTTGAGTGAACTAGGTTTCAATGAAGTCAGGTAGGAACACCCACTCTACTCAACCTTCCCACTTTCCCAAACACCCATAATGAAACAGGTGGCATAAACCAGGTGCCCAAGTGAAATGACATCTTGGGGGAGAGAGATCTTAGTACAGTCAAAACTGTGGGAATTTCCTCACACATCCGGGGCCAAGAGGAGAGCACTAACTCCAGGACTATAAAGCAATGTTTGCATGATTTAGGTCATCAATCACAACATCCCTGTTGTGGGGCACACAGCAAGTGCTCAACAAATGTCTGGTCCCCTCCCCTACCATTAACAGCAGAGCCTCCCTCTTTTGCTCCCTTCTACTCATCTTCTTGCCTGAAATCTGATAGTCAGAGTGAGGGTCTGATACTTCTAGAAGCAACAGGACCTAGCAGGTTTATTATACACCTCATCTTCAGAGACTACGGTTAAGATCAGAGATTTGGGACTCAGAGACTTGGATTTAGATCTGTTCCTTCTATGCTTGGTCACCCTGGGCATCTGGAAGCTTGTCCTCAGAGAGGTCCTGTGATAACTGAAAGATCGACTGTACATAAAAAACACTAGCATAGTGCCTGGTACAAAATAAGCATGCTATGAATGGAAGTTTCTGGTACTACTTTTTTTCCCCCCTTTATTTATTTATTTTAGAGAGAGAAAGAGAGACAGAGCACACGTGCTCGAGAGGGTGGGGGGAGGGGAAGAGGGAGAGAATCTTCAAGCAGACCCCCCCACCACCGCTCCCCTCCACCGCCCACTGCTGCTCGGTGCAGAGCCTGACATAGGGCTTGATCTCATGAGCCTGAGATCATGACCTGAGCTGAGCTGAAACCAAGAGTGGATTCTTAACCCACTGTGACACCTAGGTGCCTCATGAATGGAAATTTCTGGTACTATTAAACACAGCCTTTTGGAGACAGCTCTTAGCTTGACAGGTTAAACTAAGACTTTTTAAAATATTTAACAGTACCCAGATCTTGGTTTTTAAATTCTACTCCCAACCAAAAAGAAACCAAGGCTACCTCAAGAAATGGCTAATTCCAGAGCTGGGTTAGGGAAGGTAAAAGATGAGCCTGCAACAAACATCTTATTCCAGAAGGTTAAGGATGTGATCCCCCAAAATGGCCAGGAGACACCAAAAGGACACAAAAGGAGTCATCTTCTGGACAAATTTGGGATAAGTCAATCAAAATAATGATAGTAACAGATTATAACCCATTTAATGAAACAGAAACCCATGAGCCTATCCTGATGATAAATGAATGAATAAATGGGGAACAAGGGAAGGCTCTTCCATACAGCAGACCTAGTTAATATAGAATGATGGAGTTATAAACAAAAACCATTCTAGGGCGCCTGGGTGGCACAGTGGGTTAAACATCCAACTCTTGGTTTCGGCTCAGGTCGTGATCTCAGGGTCGTGCGATCGAGCCCCACTCTGGAGTCCACTTAAGATTCTCTTTCCCTCTCCCTCTGCCCCTCCCTCTCACGTGCGCTCTCTCTCTCTCTCAAATAAATAAATCTTAGAAAGTAAAAAAAACAAAAAAAACATTCTTTTGCAACTGTTATGGTAAAAAGATTCAAGCAAGAATCTTCACTGGATGCTCAAAGGGGGGTGGTGGAGGTGCTGATGAGAAACAGAACACTTACAAGATATTTACTTAAAGAACCTCCCTCACAAAATTCTCATTAGTTGCAAAAGGAAAAAGAACAGACAGTGGAGAGACCACACAACACTTCAACCAAATTATCAAGGTTAACATGCACCAATAAGGGGCAAACAAGTGTTTTGGGCCTCCTGGTGACACCTCGAGAAGTCGTCACTTACACAGTAACAGCCAAAACAACACAAACAAAACAAACCCCGAATCCAATCATGAGGAAACACCACAGAAACCCCAATCAAAAGACATTCTAAAACAAACAAGTGGTCATTATTCTTCAAAACTGTCAATGCTGTGAAAAGCAAAAGCAGAAGAACTGTCCCAGAATAAAGAAGCACAAAGCAAGCTGATCACTAAGTATAATACATAATCCTGAATTGAATGGCACAGAGAGGAAAACACTGCATATACAAATAACATATAGATAAGTAGTTTTTCATTCTAGCTAGAAAGCGTATCTGAAGAAATTCCCAACCACCTGCGTTCAGAAATTTCAAAAAACTTTCCTGATGTTAATTCTGGGCAGTTTTCTGACAGTCATGTGAGGGCTTCTCTCAGGTTATCATTTTTACAGAAAGAAATCATGCACAGGCCATTTTCCCACAGACCATTATTCCATAACCAAAAAAACAGCGTTTGAACAGTCCAGTCAGTGATGGGGTGATCATGCTAAAGCCCCAAAAGCACCATTTATTTCGGCTCCAGGAGAGTCTCTGAACTCTATCACCCTCTCCCACCAAAATTTCCAGGAATTATGTTGCTTTAAGAAGTGAAATTTTGGGTTTGACCATTTACCCTCTTTTTTTTAATCTTTTATTATTATTTTAAGATTTCATTTATTTGACAAAAAGAGAGCGAGCGAGAGCAGGGAACACAAGCAGGGGGAGTGGGAGAGGGAGAAGCAGGCTTCCCGTGGAGCAGAGAGCCCGATGTGGGGCTCGATCCCAGGACCCTGGGATC